AATATTTTGTTTTCCAACGCAATAATGATATTGATAATTAAAGTCCGCGTTTTAATAATAAATTGACGCATAACAACAAGTTTTATTCTAGTGTCTTGATTGAGATGGCTTTAATAAATCAATTTCAGGTAGGTTGCAAAGAGCAACACAGACTTCAAGTTCGTAAAAAATGTTTCAGAAATTTTAGTCAATTTCACAAATTTCGAAATAGAACTGGATTTGTCTAAATCTTTTTTTTTACTTATTGTTTTTTTTTCCTTTTTAAACATACTTTTATGCATAAAAGGCACAGAAATTATGAAAAATATTTAGTTATCATTTGTTTTTATGACTGCAATTTACGAATTATAAGTAGTACAAGTTGCTATTATCTGAATTCATGAATGGTATTGTTGAATTTTGTTTTAAGCTTTTTCTGTTTTAGATTTTATGTTTTGCAATTTGCTATGTACGTATCAATTTGTGTATTTATGAATAAAAAAAATAGTCGTGCCTTATTTAAAATAACATTAAATATCTTAATTACGATTAATTAAAACAAATTTTAAAAAATCGAAAACCGATTAACCAAATCGAATAAAAAAGGACCTCCATCTTAAGCAGAAATTTATTGGAACGTTGAGAAGATAATAGAGAACAAATCATACAAATCTTGTATAAAGCATTTCTGTAGGGGATGTCGACATATATAGGAGTCTGATGACTTAATGCCAAAGACAACGGTTAATTAAAGAACTAGAAAAGTTAACAGCAGCTCGTAATTATTCGTCGTCCATTCGTAAAGGTTACACCAATTTATTCAAGCTGTTACCCAAAAGAAATTATTTTGTCATTTGAACGACGACGTGGAACGAACCTCGCGAAATTGGACCTGAAAGTTTAAGTGTCAAATCAGTAAGCATTGTGGCAAAGAAAACCCAAAAACACTGAGAAATCGATTTTTTTATTTGACGTAAAGTGAAAGTCACTAATGTTTGTGTTCCATTTACATTGTTTGCAATACAATAATAACAATGACAGTGATAAATAAAATTCTAACCCTACGCGTCTTACTACCAAATCATGCACTGTTACTGATTTACTTATTATGTCTAATGACATTCAAGTGATAAATCCGAATTTATCTTTTGCGAGTTTTTGCTGCCAAGTGTTACAAATAAGATCAGTTACATTACATACAGGGCGGAATATATTTTATGTAAATCTTAACGCTCTGCTAGACTTGCATGCACCTTTAAAAAAAGTGAGAATCACAAAAAAACTATCAACCTTGGCTAAAAAATGTTAAACATCTAATGAAACTCCGAGATAAAGCGTTTAGTAAATTTAAAAGAAGCAAAAGTAACGCAAATAGGGAGTACCATAAGACTTTACGTAACTTAACTAAAGCAACCATCAAAAATGAAAAAAAAAATATTTATCAATGCCCGATTTGCGAATAAGTAATAATGCGAAAGTAATAATGTCTGGAAAGAAATAAAAAAATACTAATAAACACCCAAGCTGAGAATCAAGATGTAATTGAACACTATACAAATAATGTTAAGAGATCGATGTTTTAAATATGAAATATGATAGTTCATATATATCCATAATACAAATGCGTGTCCGATTCTGTTACCATTCTTGACTTACGTAATTAACTTCTGTATTTCAAAATTCATCGTTCCAGACGCATGGAAAAATGCTTTGGTAACCATTACCAAAAACTAATAATCCTCAAGAATTCAAAGATTTAAGACTAGTTGGTGTCCTGTCATGTTTTTCAAAGGTTTTCGAAAAAAAACTAAATAACCAGTTGTCAGAACACGTGGAGAAAAATCAGGTTCTTCCCGAAAATCAATTTGGATTTAGGCGGTATCACGGATGTTCCTCGGCACTCTCAAATGTCAATGATGACATCGTCAGGACTACAGTCACAGTTTTGGCACTATATTGGGTTAAGTGGTCAGGTTATACAATTTTTTGAATTTTTTTCAAGTAAAAGAACACAGCGTGTTAAGGTTGGCGAAACGGTGTCGGAAGAGATGTCAATGAACTGTGGGGTACCACAGGGGTCCGTTGTTAGCCCCCTGTTGTTACACTTCTAATAATCACAACGTACTCGAACACTGTAGCTTTCATTGTTATGCGGATGATACGCAGGTATATCTGTCATTCCATAAAGATAATCTGTCGAGCAATAAGCAGTGATCTGGAAAATCTAAGAACAATCTCTTTAAAGCATTCCCTATTTCTCAACCTAAAGAAATGTTGTTTAATGAGTTTTGGTCCAAAAACTGATGTTTTTAATATAAAAAACAGCATTTATATAAAAATAGGAGACTGTAGCTTGGAAATTAAAGACAATGTATCTTAGACAATCTGAGACTTATTTTTGATTCGTTGTGTGACTAGCCTGTGCTCTCCATATTCAATCTTGGAGACATCGTTTATGGCACTTGTTTAACGGCAGCTCAAAAAAACAAAATATAAAAAATGCAAAATTTTTGTCTTCGTCTGATATACGGAATCCGAAAACTTGGGCAAATATCATATAGATTTAAGCATGCCAATTGGTTGAATACGGAGTGTAGAAGAGATATGCGTTTAGCTTGTTTTTATCATCGAATTTGGTTTTTTAAATCTCCGACATATCTGCATAATAAAATTATATTTAGATCCCATGTACATAATATAAATATTCGATTTAGAGGACTGATAACACCACCTCGCCTCAGATCGTCCTTTTTTGAAAGAAGTTTTACTTACAACATCGCGAAGCTTATAACTCACTTCCTAGTCATTTTAAATCTTTTTCTCCATCAAACTTTAAACGCCACATTTTTCAGTATTATTTTAACAAATCCTACAATAATTAATACCACCTGTTGTAGAGTAAAACATTTTATGGGGTGTTTTTTTTTCGATGTATAGAACTTTAAGTTGCAATAAAACAACCATGGATTATTCGATTGACATGAATTTTATTTATCCGAAAGATAATATGATTTCTGGCATATGACCGCCACGGCTGGCGCGGATGTAGTCCAATCTGGAAGTCCAATTTTCGATGACTTTATCCAGCATTTTTCGCTGTATATCGGCAATAACACTTCGAATGTTGTCTTCCAAATGTGGCTTATCCGCATAGAAAAATGACTTTACATAGCCCCACAGAAAGTAGTCTAGCGGTGTGAAATTAGGCCACCAAACGTGTCTTTCAATAAATCGATTGTGGCACGAGCTGTGTGACATGTTGTGCCGTCTTGTTGAAACCATATCTCCTGGACATCACGGTTATTCAGTTCAGGAATGAAAGAGTTAGTAATCATAGCTCTATACCGATCACCATTGACTGTAACGTTCTGGCCATCATCGTTTTGGAAGAAGTACGGACCAATGATTGCACCAGCCCATAAAACGCAGCAAACAGTCAGTTTTTCTGGATGTAACGGTGTTTCGACATACACTTGAGGATTAGCTTCGCTCCAAATGCAGCAGTTTTGTTTGTTGACGTAGCCATTCAACCAGAAGTGCGCTTCATCGCTAAACAAAATTCGCTTATGAAAATCGGGAACAACGGCAATCTCGTTTTGGGCCCATTCGACGAATCTACGCCCTACTTGATGATCGTTTGCCTTCAATTCTTGCACGAGTTGGATTTTGTAAGCACGTAAACCAAGATCCTTCCGCAAAATCTTCCATAAAGTGGATGGACACAGATCGAATTCCTGTGCTCAATGGCGGATGGACTCATTCGGGTCTTCCTCAATGCTACGCTCTACAGCAGCGATAGCTTCTTCTGTACGCACCGCACGGCGTCTCTGGGGATGCGAGTTATCAATAAGAGTAAACGTGTGCGAAAACGTTCCATGGTTAATCGAATTAACTGCTCTGATGGACGATTTTGTCGACGATAAAATGGACGTAGTGCGCGATACGTATTCCGCACAGAACCATTATTTTCGAAATAAAATTGCACTATTTGCATTCATTCACTATTCATGATGAATTGCCAAACCAAACTGAGAATAAATGACTTGACAGCTGCTAAATCGGTCGCCATCTTGAACAGTAATGCCAACTTAAAGTTCTATACATCGAAAAGAAACACCCATTATATTGATTTTTATGTGCTGTGCCAAAGGTTATATTTCCCATATTAAGTTTACGGTTGAATGGAGCAGGGTGGTCTGGTCACTTGTGGCTTACTAGAATTACTAGAATACTAGAACACTAGAATACTAGAATGCATTTTTCATATATTGCTGAGACAAAGTGTATGATGGTGAAATAAAGACATTATCATTATTATTATTATTATTATCATTATTATTATTATTATTAATATTATTATTATTATTATTATACGTTAATTGGAAAAAACAATTACATATCCGAAAGTTTGTTTAAAAAACATATTTAGATGTTAACAAGTTTTTTTGATAAAAGTTTGAAAAAGAATTCAATAAATGAAGTTTAATGCTATAAAATGACCTATTTACATACGAAAAAGAATACGACCAAAGTTACTTCCTGTTCAAATGAAAACTTGTCACAACAAAAGTATGAAATTGGGCAACAAAATGAAATGCATATGGGCAATATCCAATGAGATTACGACAAAAAGCAAAGAATGTAGCTGATGAATATAATAAGTACGAAGCGAAAGAGTAATGTGATAAAAAAATTGTATTGCGGATTGCTTCTCGCAACAGTAAAAGAAGATAAAATGTTTCCTTCCATATCCGCATTGTACTTTGGGGAGAAAACTATTGCTTAAATTAATGTAAAACAATGTAATGTCGGTATAGCAACAAAATCAATGTTATTTATCATCAGAAGATGCCTCGCGTTCCCTCTCTCAATGGAAGCGTTGCTATGTTTAAACTTTATTTAACGAAGCTGAAATTTGAATTTCATTAAAAAAAACAAGTTCTTTCGTAGGTGAAAAGTGCGTGAGATCACAATCTCCAATTAATGTTGGGATTAAAAAAAAACACTTTTTTAATCGTATTTGTATTATTGGTAAGCTTAATCTAAAAGACACCCGTCGGAAAAGTTAAACCTAAAAAATGCCGAGTCAGTCTTTCAAAATCGATAATGATTATTGCAAAAGTCGCGAATCCTGTCGCAGGCCTTCATCAAAAGGTCTTCGGGCACGGTGAGGACTATCCGGACGAACCCCGAGATCCCGAAACAATCCCCGGGCAAACAAAACACGGATTCCTCTTCCATCATGGCCTTGACAAAGTCCAGGCTCGTTTCAAACTCCGGGAATCGCTTCAGATGAACTTCCACCAGCATGTACATGGCTCCGTCGGGCATGTAAGGCGTGAGACCCTTCGCGTCGCACAATCTATCGTAGGTTACCAGAGCGTGACGATGTAGGGTCGCTACGAGCGCCTCGTGGAAGCTTTGAGGAGTGTTTTTGAAAATATCCGCCAACGCTCCTTGGATCAAAGTGTTACTCCCTATCGTGCGTTGACTCAGGCGCGTCAAGCCTTCGCGGATGGCGTCGAAAGCACCTACTTCGTCGTGCAATAGTATCCAGCCTAGACGCCAGCCGGGAGCCAAGAACCTTTTGGCCAATCCGCCGCAGATCAAGATAGGCACCCCGGAGTGCAGCGAAGCGACGGACACGAATCCGGTACCCGGAAACACGAGCCTCTCGTAAATCTCGTCCGCGATCACGGGCAGTCTATACTTCGACGCCAAGTCCAATATGTCCGCCAGATGGCGCCCGCTGTAAACCGAGCCGCAAGGGTTCGAAGGATTCACCACCACGATGGCCGCAGTTTTGGCATCCACTTGGTCCTCCAGGTGTTGCAAGTCCGCTTCCCAATTGTTCTCGGGGATCAGGTCGTAATATTTGACGTTTACTCCGACGGCCTCGGCCAGGGTGCGATAAATCGAAAACCCCGGTCTCGGGATGAGAATGTTCTGGCCTTTGCCCGAGTCAGCCAATACGGTGATGCACATTTCTAGCGCAGAAGAGCACCCGCTGCAGAGAATCACGTCTCGGGCTTCGTAGCGTACTCCGTCGTAGCTCACGTAATCGGCTACGGCGCTTCGCGCTCGGTTGTAGCCTACGCTCGGCGCGTAGCCATTGTAGCCGCCCCCTTCGGTAGCGGCTACGACGGCTTTTACCGCTTCCGGAGGCGGGGCGAGGTTGCCGTATATCGTCGGATCCCCTAGAGAGAGCGCGATCACCGATTTGGCCGGGTTCGGCTGCAGATCTAAAGTGTCTACGACTTCCCTTATCAAGTTCCTGCAGTTTTTCGCTACGGCTGACGGTTCCACTTTCCAAACGTCGGCTTTGGCGGCACTGCTCACAGTTAAATCGAAATCCTCACTAGCGCTATTTAGTTTGTCGAGCATTATCACGTGGAAAGATATAACGAAACGCGCAGCGAACGGGTTGTGAGGAGATTTTCGCAATCGCGAGGCGTTATAACGACGGAGAAGAAATTAATAATGTATTTTCGCACGGGAACCTGTTCCAACCCGGTTTTTCGATTAAAAAAAAAACAAGCCAAGGTCGGTAAATATTTTGTTAATATTCATGAGGAATTCGATTAATTGCGACTCGCTTTTTTTTTCCTTCTTTCGTTTCGTTTTCGCTTTTCCGCGCTATTTCAATTCAACGAATTCGGCAGGAAAGGGGCTGCGGAAGCTGGACATCTCGCACACGTAATGGTAATGTTTTAACTTTTAAGATCGATGAAATCGAATTTTTCGAAAGTAAACGCCGTAGTAATTTTTTTCCAGATCTCGGTAACGCTGGGTCCTACGGTACCAACGGAATCAGCGTCAAAAAATAAGCATTTCAATTTTATTCTGTTTCTCTGTTCTCCGTGCCACGGGTTTTAATTCAATAAGTCTGTAGCCGTTCGAACCAGAAGGCTCAAATTTTTGTCAGTTTTTTGCGGTCCACTAGATGCAAAAGATATTTGAAAATGGCGGCGATCGAAGATTGGCAGCCATCTTTTTTTTTTATTTTGGACTGTTTTTTTGGCATCGCTATGAAACACGATAAGTCTCCGAAAATTGCAATACAATATCTAATGTATACGATACAAATTATATTAAAAAAAATAATCCTTGTTAAAAAAAGACATATATTATGTATGTATATTGTGTATCTTCAATGACATCACAAAAAAGATTTTTACAAAAGCGAAAAAGAGATATATAAATGGATTGGAAGTTTTGTTATTTCAATGTCTTTAATAAAGTAAGGATCCCATATTGTCTGACCATATTCTAATATTGGACGAATGGAAGACTTATAAAGTTTTACTATGGCTTTTTTCATACAAAACACCAAAGAATTAACCTGTTTAACTACTTTGAAATATATGTTTCAAGTTGGAAGTTATCATAATTCCAAGGTCTTTCTGTTCTTCTACACGTTATAAGCTCTTTTTATTAAGGGTATAACGACACTCAGTTCTGTTTGTTCCAATGCTCAAAACATTGCATTTCTATTCGTTTAGTCTCATTTTCCATTTTTTGGACCAAATTTAGACCATTTGGACCATTTGGACCATTGTTGAAGAAGAGTTTTGTATCATCTGCAAACATTGTGATTGAAGTTTTCATGGTTTCACTTATATGGAACGGCCCAAGAACTGATCCCTGCGGAACATCACTAAGCACATTATGCCTTTTGGCTTTTACTTGGTGAAAATCCATTTAACAAAATAAATAAGAACTAAAAGTTCAGATTTTCACGAAATTATATTGTTTCGACAACACCGTGTCTTTATGAAATGTAATATTTACAAACTACTACTTTATGGACAGATTTACATCTCTAAGGAAGGTTTGATTATGGGAAACCCACTTAGTTCTTTGTCAGCTGAGATTTTTAAGGATAACTTGAAAAGTTTTCTATGGTGGTATAGATACGTGGATGATATCTTTGCTTGCCTTGTGGGAACGGACAGACAATTGAAATTTTTTTTAAATTATAATAAATATACTTATCACACTATGAACAGGATAACTCTATTAATTTTCAAGACTTAACTATTACGAAAACGCAAAACAAATTAGATTTTTCCATATACCTTCACACACGCACACAGTAATACATAAAAGCTCAAATCACTCTTATACACACAAAATTTCACTCTTTCACTCTTTTATACACAGATTTCTTAATACGCCACTCTCAACAGAAAATTGCAAAAAAGAACTTAACATCATTAAACAAATTGCACTGAACAACGGCTACAATCCGTCCGTTATCAATAAAATTATAAACAAAAAACAAATCCAGACAGCAGTAAACTCTATTTATCCGAAACCTAATACAGAACACCAATAATTTAAAACAATTACATACATAGGAGAACCTAGCGAAAAAGTTTCAAAACATTTGTCAAAATGTGGTTTAAAAATAGCTTTCAGAACTAACCACACAATAGGAAAATTTTTGAAAAAACAATAAAACGAAGTGTCCAAAATCTCAAAAATCAGGTTGAAATGCGGATCTTGTCCTAAAATTTGTATTGGACAAACAGGTAGATCCTTCAAGAAACGCATTAACGAACATAAAAGAGCGTTTAAAAACAATAGTCTGGATTCTAATTATGCTGCACACTTAAACACAGAAAAACACATTTTTGACGACAATTTTGATATTTTACATACAGCCAGAAAAAGTAGAAAATTAAATTTATTGGAAGTCATACAGATTAACAAAATGAGACATTAAAATGTATTGCTTAACGATAAATTAAATTTAAATACCCCTCCTTTAATGAACTTAAATTCTCACAACAACATTAATTAAGTTTTTATTGTCATATTTCGGTATATATAGTAGCAGGTAGTCTGTAAATATTACATTTCATAACGATAAATTCGAAGCTATGGTCTTCGAATTTATCACAAGTATGAAGCTTGGTTCCCTGACGCAACTTACTGAAATTGGGGTTGCTGGCGGGTAGGGAAGTATTTTAAATTTTGCGAGGGTCCAACAAAGAAATCATTTCTGGAAAACGGTTTAAGCGACAGAAGAAATTCTTGAAGGCGAAGATGCAGAAGAATCGGCTAAATAAAATTTTATTCTTAAAAATTTTTCAAAATTATACCGGGTGCGCCGCAAATTAAAAAACAATGAAAAAGACTGTACTCCAGATGTCAGTTTCTATTGTACTGTATTCAAAAATTAACAGGCGTCTTAAATGTAAAGCTATCGACTTCAGATTGGGCAGAAGGGTAGAAGTCCACACCCGCATTTTATCTGTTGAAAAAGCACTTACTCAAATCTAGCAAAATATTTTTTTTAAATTAATATATTTTTTTATATATTTTGACTTCCAAAAAAAAATATTTTCTAGAAAACTATTAACCAGATCGGCAAAATTTGTAAACCAGGAAATGCGGGAGATCGGGGATCATAACATTTAATTATTCATTCATTCACTTATTATATAGAGGGTTTTTCAATTATAGACAAAAATCTAAAAGACCCCAAAAATCGTTCTTTTCGCTATTAAATTATTAGCCGTGAATCAAAATTCGTGGAAACTCTGGCCAATTGGATTAAAGGGTGCTGTTTACGCTGTACGAGATATTTGAAAAAATCCAAATGAAAATCAAAACATGCTTTTTTAAAGCATCAGTTGCTTCTTCTGGTGGAAATAAAAAGAAGTCATTAGGTGCCAAATCGGGACAGCTCATCAAATCGACGTTTTTAATGCTCAAAAAGTTTTTTGTTTGCACTGATCAGTGAGAGCTAGCATTGGCGGCGTAGAGAGGGAAAAGTGGGCACGTTTTTCGACAGATTTGCTAACTGCTATCAGCAAAATATAAATAAAAAGTAAAACGATTAACGATTATCCATGCAATTTCTATGTCTAAAAAATTAAAAAGTTTTTTTTCTTATTATGCTTTTAAACAGAAATGTGGGTTACACAACGTACTGGCTAAAGGGACATATAAAAATCTTTTTAAAAAAACATTTCCCTGTATGGTTTGCCCCATATTTTCATCGCGGACTATTTATAAGATTCGTAGCTCTGTCTTTGTTTAGAAAATGATGCAACATCATAAGACGAAATCCATGTTTATTGTGTGGAATTCAAAACTTGTAATTTTAATAGATAAGGCACATTTCACAGCATGTCTTCGAATTAGCAAAGTGAAAAATACTCCATATGGGATTAGGTAAAGATGTGTCTTGTTGAATTTCTTGTAAAAATAGAAATAGAATTTTTTTTTGTTTTTTTTTGGGTTTAGTGTTTTCAAAGTCAGTTTCATTAAGATTAATGTTTGGTCCGAAGTAGACCATGGAAACATAACATTTTTCTTACCGCCATTGGTCATTTCCTTTTTGTCAGGATCTTTTAATGACTTTAGAATAAAATGCTAAATGAATTTTTTTACAAACCAAAACTCAACAAAAGATACACTCATTCAATACTTTGCTAATATCTTCCTTCTGTATTTTAAAATTTAATATAATTTTATTTGCACATAGCATTTTAAGGGATGTACACACTTCATATGTACATATGTCCTAAAGTCCTAACTTTTAAAGTCGGCAATACGTAATGTGGAACGTCACTAATTTCGTTAAAACAAATGTTTACATTTACTTATGAGCAGAATTGAGTTGATTTTTGTTTAGTCCTTCATACGGTGTCACTCAAAAATGAAAACTAATTTCTCTGCATGCTGTCATATTAACAAAATTGTGATAACTATGCAGAGAAGAGGTGTATTTAAAAAACATAATGGTGCACTAAATAATGCTTTTTGATACTATATTATGTATGTGCCAAATGTCATTAACATTTTAATGCGGTTATTACAGATACTACAAAAAATATATTTTAATTCAGGATATAAGTTCATTTCAAGTTTTCTTTTTAAAATGGACCCAGATATCGCCTCCTTAATTATTGACATTCAATTAGAAAACACCCTGTATATATCAGTTGACCATCTACCAGTCGACTTAATTTTTTTGCTTCGGTTTAAAATGACATATTTGCCCGTGACATCCCGTTCCTATATCGTAATATATTGACGTGGTTAACCTTTAGTACGCGTTGTAACCAGTGTTTACTTTCCCCAATACATCAGCCGAATAAATATTCGTGTGCCTCTGCTACCGCTTTCTTTCCGACAAGATTCTCCTTGTACGATGATTCCGGGTCATATGACCAATTCATTAAACCGACAATTTTCGGAAGACGCTCCCAGAATACCTTCCGTACAGTATTTTGCTACTCCGTGCCCTAAAATACCCCATTAGGCACGTTATACGTGACAGGGAGTCCACGTCATTTCCGATACTTTAATCACGGATTTGGGAGCGATCACAGGTTAATATTTTCATTCCTTGTTAACCCATTTTGAACCAATGGTGCCTTCTATAAATTTTTTTTTGTCACATCCAGGAAATATTTTTGCGCATCCATTTAGAAATT